TATGTTTTCTGGTATAAAGATAAATTTTATTATAAGCCAAAACAAAAATAGTTTAAATTATTTTGCTGTCTAATGCTAACAACAGCCAGTCATTTATGGACATAGCTCAGAATTTATCTCTGAGCTCTAGTCATTAAATCTGGGTTATCAGGAATTCAGATATCTTTTTAATAAAGATAATATTAAAACTGTTTCATGGTTAAATCTGTCAAAAAGTTAAAACTAGTAACACTGGGAATTGACAACATAAATTTAATAGTCATCCCAGATGATAATAATTTTAAACACATCAAGGGTACCTTATTTTTTATATTCTTACAAAAAGGCAGGGTTTCTCTGTGGCTTTGGAGGCTGTCCTGGAACTAGCTCTTGTAGACCAGGCTGGTCTCGAACTCACAGAGATCCACCTGCCTCTGCCTCCCGAGTGCTGGGATTAATGGCATACACAACCAATGCCCAGCTTAAAAAAGACCTTAAAAGATTTTTAATTGTTCAAATTTATAAGGTTATAAGATATTCATGCTTCTGTTATATTATTAATATTTATGCTTAAAAGAGCTAAAATTTAAGATTATAGCCATAAATTCCATATGTTAGTAAAGAATTGAGCTGTTTATTTCTTATGGTACATTAAGACAATGACCTAAGTTTAAAAGCAACTACCTGCTGTTCAGTCACAAGCTCAAGGTTTTTAGATTTACTTTTTCATCTAAATATAAACTTAAAGGGCTTTTCATCAGGCCAAAGGGACCTCTGTTCAATCTATACCTGACTCTCTGGACAGAAGAGAAATGTACAAACTTCTAACCCAAATCTATAGTTTTTGCTAGAACTCAATGAAATAAACATATTTCTGCCGTTCTACAAACACCCAATATCTGCTTTTTTCTGCAATGTAGATTTCAATACAGACTGATAATGATAAAATGTCTACAACTTCTATGTCCTATTATGTAATAAAGTTCATATAGGCTTCAGAGGATCAAAAGTCATAAATCTTGGGTCCACTTCTTCCAGATAAAAAAGAACTCCTGATAAGTACAACTTTTGTTATCCCATGTATTTGTTCCTGAGGATGAGATTTTCTCCCTGGTCTTGGAACCCCTGTCCTTTTGATCATAAAAATATGGGTCTAAGAGTTCTAATAAGATATATAAGTTTTAACTTCCCAGTTTAAACATGTCTCAACACATTTCCACTTCTGACAGACAAATATCAGTTGCTGACTACAGCCTGCTCCTAAAGCCTGCGAGCCCTAGAGTTGCTGTGGATGTGAACCAGTCCAGCTGATATGGACACCCCCTATCTCTGCAACAGAGTCTGCCAACCAAAAGCTCCTGATGGATTCACCATTGCCTAACTTCTTTTCTTTTTTTGTGTGTGTTTGACTAGCGTTTCAGCCTTCTTGGGTGCCTAACTTCATTCAAAAGTCAGCAGAAAATAGCATAGGAAAGAATACATTGCCCATTTTCATGGTTAAAATGCTAAGTCAGAAAGAACTCCCTTACATGCGGGAAACCCTTGTCCATTACCCATGCCCTAGTTATTACCCAGCCATTCAGGCTCTTAAACAACAAGAAGGACCATAAGATTTGGGATTAAAACCTCACAAAAAGAAATGGGGGAAATGAAAGATTTTAGTTTGCTGAGAGAAAAGGTTTCCCACGGGCCAGCACAAAGAAGTAGGCTCCAACCAGAGGGCAGACCCAATCCTTTTTGGGTCACACCTGGCCAACAGACAATTGGGAACTCTCCAGGGTACATTCTGTGGTTTTTCCTTTGTAGAAAAGCAGGTCACACCTGGGTGACCATTCAATCATGAGATCATACTTTGTAATCAATCACTTTGTGCCCCTTGCCTATATGCTGATCTGCAGTTTTTTCCTATATAAGGAGCTTGCACCCCATGCTGGGGTATGCAGCTTTCCCGGTATTGCTGACACCTGAATCTCAATTCCCAAGAGCATTGAAAAACATGTTTTCATTGATCTTAGGATCCCTGTGAAAGGTTGTTTTAATTCCAAGAAGTCATGGACCTCAGGTTGAGAACTGCTATGCTATAATCAAGTTCCTCTTTGCAACAAATTTGGAGAATCACTTAGTGAGTTCGGCACGTGGTTATGAAATACAATTCCTGGGGAGTTGCAACGTGCATATTCATCTAATCACCCCATCTGCAAACTGTAAACACAATGAAGTTCAACATTTTGAACCAAAGAGCTTTATTGGAATTGATTTCAGATACATGGGGAAGCAGTTGCTTACCAGAGCATAAGGAACTCCAACACAGGTACTACCACAGCATTCAACACCAGAATGTGACATAGCTTAAGAATAATGCACACCTGGAGGATAGGGCACACCTGTAGGCACAGCTTTAAGTGAAAGAGAATCCTATCTTAATGCTCAAAATCTTCTAAGGAGCATGACTTCTCTCAGTTTCTTCATGTGAGGTAAGTATTGGGTTTGGAGATTTCTTGAAGTTCTTTTGAGTGCTGTATTTCCTGCTAAAATCATCTGTCCTTCAGAATGGATCCCTCTGTCCCCAGGACACTTACACAACACCACATACTTCAGGTGGCAGCATTTCTTCTTCATCATCAAGTATTTGAAGTTGAACAAATAAAGTTTTAATGAAAATTGTCTCTATAATATTTCAAAATAACTTAAAGTCTTTCACAAATTTTTCATGCTTATAATAGTTGTCTAGTGTGGAGTCCCAAGAGTCTAAGAATATAGCTTGTTTAAGGACATACCAATTTCTTCCCAGGGAAACTTTTCTCCCCAAAATGAATTTTCACAAGTTCTTAGCCCTGAAAAGCAGTGAAAGACTTTTGCGTGTATATCACATTTCAAACGACCCACTCCTATATGAATATTTGGATGTGATATCAGAATGATTTTTAGACAAAATGTTACTTATGTTGGCTATTATGGTGGTTTGAATATGTATAGCCCCCAAGGGCTCATGTTGAATGCTTCACCCATAGGGAATGGCACTATTAGGAGGAATACCATTGTTTACATAGGTGTGGCATTGTAATTAGTATGTCACCATCAAGGCAGTTCTCCTATGTGTTCAAGCCACAACTAGCACACAGTTAACGTCCTGCTTTCCGAGGATCGAAATGTAGTCCATGTCTCAGCTACTTTTCTAGCACAGTGTCTGCCTGCATGTCAGTGTTTCCCACCATGACGATAATGGACTAAATTTCAGATTTAATTTTCTTCTGAAAGGAAATTAAATGTTTTCCTTTTAAAGCATTGCACTGGTCAAGGTGTCTCTTCAGAGCAGTAAAACAAAAACTAAGATAAAGATACTTGTAAGGTTTCTCCCCAAATGAATTTTCTAATGTATTCTAAGATGATTTGGGAGTCAGATGCTGGGTTGAAAACCTGATAGTTCCGAGACATCAAGAACCAACGAAATTGCCCTCTTTTCTTGCCAGAGACCCTGCAAGCAAGTGCCTCTTCAACAATCTCAAACCAGAAGACCTCAAAGGCTCAAGTTACTCCCTACTCCTTCCTGTGTGTCTATCAGTATTCATACTCATTAGTACTCACTATGGCTAATTCAAGCCAATAGTCCTGGGTCCACACGCTTAAGCATGGTTAATATTCTTCCAATTCGGGTCTGAAAGTATGCTCAAATATTCCAAAACCTATTCTAAGATTTCAAAACAACAGTAAAGCATTTCACAAGCTTGCTGCATTTCTAAATTTTATCTAATACGCGTTTTCTCTGATGAGTTCTAAGATGGCATTTCCTGGCAAATGATTTGTTACATTCACAACCTTGGTAATGTTACTCTCCTGTGTGGACTCTCCAATGAGTTTTAAGATTGTCTTTCATTGATAAAGATTCGTCACATTCATTACATTTTGTGGTTTCTCTCCTGTGTGGATTCTATGATGAATTCTCAGTTCCTATGTCCTGTTAAAGGATTTGTCACATCCACTAAATTTGTAAGGTTTCTCTCTTATGTGGACTCTCTGATGAGCTGTATAATTGGATTTGTCAGTAAAATACTTGTCACATTCACTGCATTTGTAAGGTTTCTCTCCTGTGTGGATTCTCTGATGAGTTCTAAGATAGTCTTTCATGGAAAATGATTTGTCACATACATGACATTTGTAAGGTTTCTCTCCTGTGTGGATTCTCTGATGATTTCTAAAAGAGTCTTTCCTGGAAAATGATCTGTCACATTCACTACATTTGTAAGGTTTCTCTCCTGTGTGGACTCTCTGATGATTTCTAAAAGAGTCTTTCCTGGAAAATGATCTGTCACATTCACTACATTTGTAAGGTTTCTCTCCTGTGTGGATTCTCTGATGATTTTTAAGATTGTCTTTCATGGAAAATGATTTGTCACATTCACCGCATTTGTAAGGTTTCTCTCCTGTGTGGATTCTCTGATGATTTCTAAGATAGTCTTTCCTGGAAAATGATTTATCACATTGAATACATTTGTAAGGTTTCTCTCCTGTGTGGATTCTCTGATGATTTCTAAGATAGTCTTTCCTGGAAAATGACTTTTCACATTGACTACATTTGTAAGGTTTGTCTCCCGTGTGGATGCCCTGAGTTCTAAGAATGCCGTCTGTGATTAAGGGTTTGTTACAGTATTTGTAAGGTTTCACTCTTTTGTGGGTTCTCTGATGAACTCTAAGATTAGATTTCACGTTAAAAGCCTTTTCACATTCACTACATTTGTAAGGTTTCTCTCCTGTGTGGATCCTGAAATGTCTTTGAAACATTGATAAATAATAAAAGCACTTACCACATTCAGTACATTTGTAGGGATTTTCTCTACAACAGATTTTGTAATGTACATTAAGTTGTGAAAAATTCAGGAATGATTTATTACATTTTGTACACTTATAGGGTTTCTCTCTAGTATGGGATCTCTGATGTGTAATAAGGCTTGAGTTAGTCTTGAAATGTTTTCCACATTGAAGGCATTGATGTGGATGCTTTCTGCAATCAGTTTCTTTCAGTTTGATTTCTGTATTAGACTCAAAAGATGAATCATATTTTGTAGTTTTGTAGACTTCCCTTCCTGTGTGAATTCTTTGATTTTTGCTAATAATGGAACCCACATACAAAAAGTTTCCACAGTCTTTATATTTGCTAGGTTCTTCCTCAGCATTCCCAATTTTGTGTCTGTTGAGGTTTAAGGTTTCATCAGAGGCACCTCTGTAGTTACAAAATGTGTAATTGTTGTAATTTTCAGCAGTATCACTTATATCATAAGGTGAATATTGGCAGGATTCATGAATCACTTTGCCAGGCTCATTACATGTATTAGTCTTCTCTTGAATATATTCATGACCATGGATACAATAGTTTGTGCCTTGGTGCAAGACATTCTCATGTTTACCACATATGCGATGGTTCTCTGAAAAATTAGTACAACTGTGAATCATAACAATTAATATGTAACAGTATCATTACCTGATATTTTTTAGGTTTCCAAGACATGTGAACTGGTAACTTTCAGGGATAACACTGTTAACAGAGGACTTTTCTGTTTCATAATCAATACATGGATGCTCCTAAGAATCTCCAATTTGGAACTTGGGCCCCTGTGTCAGGCCCGACTTCTGATTGCCCACTCTGGGATCTCCTGGCCTGGGGAATACAGGGAGGATGACTCACCCCCAGAGGAACAAGCAACCTCAAGTCTGTTAACATTGCTTTTCTAGTCCTGCTCCTGCCCACTGGGAGAGGGAGTGCCTCAGACACACCTATACCCACTGTGAGACCCATTAGAGTATTGGACCTTCTTGTGCCCATCAGAAGAGAATCTTGGACCTGCACCCACAAGAGGAGGAAGAGACCCCAACTGCACCAACTGGAAGAAGGGATGAGAAGACAATAATGTAAGAGCACATCCAACAATAGAAAAAACAATATGATGCTACCAGAGTCTAAGGGCTCCACACTAGCAAGATCTGAAAATCCCAACACAGAAGAAGACGAACATCAGACTGTCAATCCCACAGAATAGGCTGACGTGAAAAAGGGGGAGCTAATGGAGCCCAGACTGATAGCTGGGAAACCAGCACAGGACAGATGCAGAACCCGCAAACGTGGAGGTCAGTGAGGAGGCCTCGGCAATCTATGGGACCTCTGGTAGTACATCAGTATTTATCCCTAGCATAGGAATGGACTTTGGGAGTCCATTCCACATAGAGGGGATGCTGTCTCATCCTAGACACAAGGGGGAGGGCCTAAGCCATGCTCCAAATGATGAGACAGACTTTGAAGATCCAACATGGAAGGCCTCCCCCTCCCTGGGGAGCAGAAAGGGCATTGAATAGGGGTTGAGTGGGGGGCAGGGGAATCTCCAATCAGATCTACAGCAAATCACAGGGACAAATACTAGCCTACTTATTCTCTTTTTCAATTTTTTTCCATTGATTCGACATCCTTCTACAGTTTCCCTTCCTTACTCTCGTTGTGTTCCTTCTCCCTGACTCCCCTATGGGCCCCCATCAAACCTTCCTCTGTATGTGTTGAAAAGAGGCAGGCCTCGCATGGCTGTCAACAAAGCATGGCATATTGAGTTGAGGTATATCTCAGTTCCTCCCTTTGTATTAAGGCTGTGAGAAGCAACCAACCAAAAGAAATAGATGCCCAATAGCAAGCCAAAGCCTCAGAGAAAGTCATTGATCACACTGCTAGGAGTCCCACAAGAAGACCAAAGTAAACAACTGTCATGCATATGTAGAGGACCTAGTGTATTCTGGTGTATACTCTTTTCATTCTTATCACAGTGTTTACTGTCCTTTGCAGCTAGTAAGATGCATAGGTATTTGGGAAGGAAAGAACATGAGAAAGAAGCTCTAGGAAGGATGATATAAAGAATGATTGCCTATATCATCTGTTTTTGAGATAGAATCATACAAAATGAATTCATAACCCAGATTTGCATGGAGATAACCATTTACTCTGATTTCAAGCTCCAATGGTGTGCCAGTATTAAATATAGCAAACCTACCTCAAAAATGAATTACTAGACAAAACCACATTCTCATAACCAACAGCCCTTCTTCTAAAACCTATTCAATTTTAACAGAAATAGGTGGAGAGCAAAATCAAGTAACAATTTTAAAACTCTGTAATTTTAATAAGTCCTACAGTACATTTTCATGCTCTAACAAGTTAATATTGTTTGAACTTTGAAATGGTTTTTGTATTTTAGATAGGAGGGCTACAGAGATCACATAGAATAAAGCATTCTTTACTCTTCTAGAGAACACAAAAAATGTAAATGAAGCAACATTAAAAACTTATGTTGGTAACTAATATTTCCCTCATTTCTGGCATTTTCTAGTTTCAGTTTACTGACACACAAAGTAGGAAAACAAAAAAAGAATGAATATGGAATTCTATGAGAAGAGACCTCTTACCCACAAAAAGTAGATTGCTGTAATTCTCCAACATTACATCCGTGTACAATGCCCTCTGAACACAGTCTAGACATTCCCATTCCTCCTGGGAGAGGTCCACAGACACATCCCTGAATGATAACAGACCCTGCAATGAAAAATTACCTAATTACCATGCACTGCTTCACAAAATGATTTCTTGAGTAAAAGAGACATCATGAATTAGAGAGATGTTTGTGACATAGATGATGGATGACAATTTTGAAAGGACACAAGTTTTGAAAGAGTCCAGCACTGATACTCTTTCGAAGAAAATTCATAGGAAGATATACTACACTGCTTACATCCATTGGGTCTCTCTCCTCCATGAATACTCTGATAATTTCTAAGAGGTGAGTAGTATAAAATATTTGTCACAATCACTAAATTGGAAAAATTTGTCTGTAGCTTTCAGTCTATAATGTGTTCTAGTCCTTGAAAATATCGTTTGATTCCCAGCACAATCATGGCACTAAAAAACAGGATTTAATCTCAGATGCTTGAGATTCAATGCTACACCTTGTAGGCAAGAGTCCCACAGAGTACACATACTTTCTGGCAAACATATGGGAACATATAGAATAAAATTTAATTTTAATGGACATGGATGAATTAAATTCAGTTTTTTTTTGAGACCAAGGAGCACAAAACCACTGCACATACCCAATGCTCCAAACAACACACAGAATCAAATACTTTGTGAAGCTATAACATGAGGAATAATTACAACCATGAAGTATGTGATTGCTCATGAGATTCACTGAAAGGAAAATTTAAACCTCTTAATTTCAAAAATATTGGTCAGTTCATTATCTGAGCTAATTCATCTGACAGGATTTTAGCATAGCTAGGTGTCATTTATGATTACTCCTTTATTTCCATTGAAAAAAAGTAGAATATACAGTGTTATATAATGTCACAATTTTGCACCAGCCTGAAGACATGACTGAGAGGTGAAAGTCACTTGCTGTTCCTCCAGAGAAACCAACCAATTCTCTCTGAACACATGGCAATAACTACAATGTTTGACTTCAATGCCAAGTGTCTGGTGCTGACCTCAAGATTCCAGGAGCATAAAAAGGGACTCATATACTTACTCTATGAATACACTCCACATCACTGTGTGACATCATGAGGCAAAAAGAGAAACCAGAATACTGCAAACTTCATCTCCTCACAGACAGAGCAAAATTCTAGCAAGAGAAGTCACATATTGCTTCCATCATCTGTGCTCCCTGGGTCCTAAAAGCTTTACCATTAGGGTTCAAGACAGTGAGTCTTTTCTAATTCTACTTTCTATAAATTCCTCAGTGATGTCAGTGAGAAGGTACATGTACTGCTCTGTCCATGCTCATAAGTCTGTTTCTGGAAAACTGAACATTCCAGAAATGCAACTGTGTGGCACATGAGACCATACTTCCTCACTATGAAAAAGGAACACAAGTCCATTTTATGTAGAAAATGGCCATTGATAAATTTCTTGAGTTTCATTTACAATAGCCTATGTTTTAGACTCCAAGTCTAAAGTGTATTGTAATTCATAGCCTCATAGCATAAACCCAAGAGAAAATACAATGTGTTTCTCAGTTACATAGTTAAAAGATTTAAACACATAACCTTTAATACAAAAAAAAAGAAAAAAAAAAAAAAACGAGCCAGGCAGTGGTGGTGCACAACTTTATTCTGAGCACTCAGGAGGCACAGGCAGGCAGTTCTCTGTGAGTTTGAGACCAGCCTGTCTACAAGAGCCAGTTCCAGGCAGCCTACAAAGCCACAGAGAAACCCTGATTCAAAGAAAAAAAAAAGAAAAAGAAAAGAAAAAAAGACAGATGAATAAGGCAAAAGTAAACCCTTTGAATAACATAGCCAGTGGAAGACAATTAAAAGTTTAAATGTTTTCAATAATAAAGACAATTTTCAGAGAAATTTGAACATGACACTGACCTGGGGAACATTTGCCACAGAAGCTTCCATTGTTCTTGTTGCTCCTCTCTAAGTTTCTCAGAGAAAAATACTGCAATTCTTGTTGATATTTAACATCCTATTATCAATAATAGAAATCTGAAAAAAAAATACTCTGTTATGGTCAATGCCACACCATACAGAAAAGTCCCCTCAAAGCCAAAATCATACCAGAAATCTTGTGAACATTTCTACCGCCAGGAGAAAATAGAAGGATGCATATAGAGTGACGGAAGAGAGCTCTAGAATTACCACCATGGCATAGATAGCCTGTTTGCAAACAACAGACAAAGCAAATGCTCTACTAAATTACTATATGAATTATTTTATGACAACCTAATGGTCTGCCAACCATAAGGTAAGTGAAGACAAAAATAAAGCAAAACGACAGTAATGCCCACTTCATGGCATCTGAAACCCACCGTCAATGGAAAGACGCCAACAACACAACACTGAGAGCTGTGTCTGAGGATAAAGCGGTGGAAACTGGGCAGCTCTGGCTGCGCCCCTGGCCGCTAAGAGAACTCGCCATGGGCAACAGGTCTAGGGGGAGAGGTCCCTGGGGAGGAGGGCGAGCAAAAGAGCAAAGGGCGTCTCGGATGGGGACGGGAGAGACGGAGACCCCAGACAGAGAGCGGTCAGAGAGCAAACCAGGAGCCAGAGAGACCGGGACAGACGGACACTTTTAAGGGGTGCGCCCGGCGCCCGGGGCAGCACCCAGCTCGTGGGGTGGAAACGAGCGCACCTGGCCGCAGGGGACGAGCTGAGCCGCCGCCTCCTCCACCCCACGGGCAGCCGGCGGGAGCTGACGGGGTCCTTGTGAGCAGCTCGGGAGCACAGCCCGCTCCTCCCTCCCTCCCGGGTCCCAGCCCCGCAGCTCCTCTGACCTGGGAGCTTCCAGGGCCGCCGGGCTGCGGTTCCCGCCACTGCGCTGCTGACTGCTGACTTTCCCAGGCCGCCCCGCGAGCGCGGACACCGCGGATCCCGAGGGCTCAGGTCCCCGCGGACCCTGTTTGCTGCCCACTCGGCAACAGAAATGAAATTAAACCCCAAACCTAGCGAAGCGTGGCGTGCTGGCACCTCTGTAATCTCACCACTCACGAACATTTAACTCTGATATTTGCATCCAGCCTTGAAAGCATAGGTTGTTTCTGATGAGCAACAGCTATATAAGGAGCCCCCCATTTGAAAAATAAGAAACTAGCAATCAACAACAATGCAACGGCCACCAAGGAAGTTGAGAAAATGCCACATGAAAGCTTTATTCTATCTCCTGAAGGGAATGCAAACTGCTACGAATGGAGAAACCAAATCTGGGTTTGCAGATGTCCCGTGGTGAATGATAATATATATTTGCCTCTAAAGATGGGGTATTAAAAATAATAACTCTTTAACATGTACCGATTAATCCATATAAGGCAACAAGTTACAGGAAGGAAGAAATACGATTAATTGAATATATTCACAAAACGTAAATATATGGTAACCTTTCATATATGGTCATTGTGAAAGATTTCAGGATTCATGGAATAGGAAGAACATGCTTCAGTACAAGGTACATTAGAAGCCACAATTCTATATCTAACATTATACACAATGTGGAAAAATGGAAGGAGTCTGGACACCTCAGAACAGATATGAGCACGCACTCTTTGCAAATTAACTCAGCACAGGGTGTGAGTTGTTGCTGAGAGAAGAGAAAAGTTCCAATTGAAAAGCATTAATGCATTAAGACAGTAATTTATCCCAAACTGTTAGTAACTAAAAACTTAATATCAATAGTTAGCAATATCTTATGGGAAAGTCCTTTTTGATCATCTTTGAAGTCAGCCATAAAACCCATATTCTAAATCACTTGGTGATTTTCATAACAACAAGATAAGAGTGAGAAAAGGGTAGACATCTAGGACCAGCATACTGCACAAGAAATGTCTTAGATACCCTATTGATCGCATTCAAGTACGAAAGCTATTGCGTACATTGGTGGGGGAGAAGAGTTGTCAGTGACCTCACTCAGATGTAGACCCCGTGTGACAGAAAACCAACCTCCCAGAAACAGTGTGTCCCTACCCTGATAGAGCACAGGACCATGAGAGCTACCAGAATTGATCAGCAATAGGCTTGTCAGCACCATCGTGCTTTCCCTCTGTATCTTCTTTGTAACCAGTATCCTACATTGACCCTCAGTACTACAAATGCCTGCTGATGCATTTTGTTACTTACAGAAAAGTTTCTGCATAGGAAAATGTAAAAGGGGCAATTCAAAAATATATAGATATAGGAAGCTAATTTCTAAATAGGACTACAAATGAACAGGGCAAAAACAAGAATGGACTAATAAGACTGCCTGCAATACAAATCTTGCCTGGAACATAAGCAATGGTGGAGAAGCAACCTTAAACGCCCCTCCTCTATAATGAGATTGACGAATACCTTAAATGCTGTCATTAAAACCTTCATCTAGTAGCTGATGGAATCAGAAGCAGAGATTCAAATTTAAGCACAGGGCCAAAATACTGGAATCCAGTTATAGATACAGAGGATTGATGAGCAAAGAGGTCAAGGCCATGCTGGGGAAAAACATCCAAACAGCTTACATGACCAAGTGAGAGTATACTGACCCAGACTTACAGCTGGAGAACCAGCCTAAAAGCAAAGCAGGCCCCCTGATGTCAAAAGAGCTTCAAGAAATCTCCAAACCCAAAAGGATTCAATGTGCTTAAGTCACATGAAGAAACTGAGAGAAGTCATGTCCCTTAGAAGATTTTAAGCATGAAGATAGGATTCTCCTTCACTTATAGCTATGCCTACAGGTGTGCACTATCCTCCAGGTGTGCATTATTCTTAAGCTGTATCCCATGCTGGTTTTGACTTTCATGACACCAAATGTGTTAGAGTCCCTTATGCTCTGTAATCAATTCCAATAGAGTTCTTTGGTTCAAAAAGTTGAACCTCATTCTCTTTACAGTTTCCAGTAGGGGTGAGTAGATGAATATGCATGTTGCATCTCCCCAGGAATTTTATTTCATAAACAATGATGAACTCACGAGTTATGTCTTCTAATTTGTTGAAAATAGGAACTTGATCATAGCACAGCAGTTCTCAACCTGTGGTCCATGACTTCTTGTAATTAAAATTCCCTTTCACAGGGGATCCTAAGATAAATGAAAACATATTTTTCAATCATCTTAGGAACTGAGATACCATGCTTTTATTATCTCCTCATGTACATTTGCCAGATTCCCTTTTCTTGTGTATGTGAATTAAATCTTCTGGAGCTTCATTGTGGATTTGAGTTAATTACATAAAATTTACCACTGTAATTTTAACAATAATATGTTAACAGCCTCAATTTCTTCAGTAATTCCAAGCTTGCATTTTACATGTGTCTCTTGTGCTTGTTAGATTTCTTTCCTGTTAGCTATTTTTCACTTACTGTTTATCATTGATTGAATAATAGAAGCAAGATTAGATATTGTAATAATTTTCCTGCTGTTTGGTTTTTATAAAAAAACATTCCTATAAGGATGGAATGTTCTGCCTCCAAATACACATTGATATGTCCTCACATGGATTGTTTCATTAATTTTGTTTAGTTATTTAAATAATAAATATTGATATTTAATTTTTTCATATGTATATTCACGATTACCCGTTCCTCAATTTGTCCCCTACCTGATGAGTCATGTCGTCTTCCGAGTTTCCCTTCAAGCATCATCTGGAAGGAAACCATTCTGAGCAATATCATTAAAAACATCTCTGATAAAGCACAGTCACTAATATGTGTCATAAAGCAGGTCCGCATATGAGTGAGTACATATCATGTTTGTCTTTTTGTGATTAGGTTACCTCGCTCAGAACGGTTTCTTTGAGTTCCATCCATTTTCCTGCAAATTGGAAGTTTCCATTGGTTTTCTCTACTGAGTAGTACTCCATTGGGTAAAAGTACCACATTTTCTCTATCCATTGTTCGGTTGAGGGGCATCTAGGTTGTTTCCAGGTTCTGGCTATTACAAATAATTCTGCTATGAACATCATTGAACAGGTGTCCTAGTTGTATGAATGTGCTTCTTTTGAGTATATGCCTAGGAGTGGAATTGCTGGGTCTTGTGGTAGACTGATTCCCATTTTCTTGAGGAGTCGCCATACAGATTTCCAAAGTGACTGTACAAGTTGACACTCCCACCAGCAGTGGAGAAATGTTCCCCTTTCTCCACATTCTCTCCAGCATAAACTGTCATTGGTGTTTCGATTTAGCCATTCTGATGGGAGTAAGATTGTATCTCAGAGTTGGTTTAATTTGAATTTCCCTGATGGCTAAGGAATTTGAGAATTGTCTATTTAGCTCTGTACCCACTTTTTAATTGGATTGTTTGGTGTTTTGGAGACTAGATTCTTGAGTTCTTTGTATATTTTGGAGATGAGCCCTCTGTCAGTTGTGGGGTTGGTGAATATCTTTTCCCAGTCTGTGGGCTGCTGTTTT